TATTCCAAGGAAACAGATTTTTCTTTGAAAATATCTAACCATTACACAAACTATTTTTGAGGAAATTGCGCCTCCCATCACCACACAACAACTTCTTTGCACTCCTACGACGTAATAAAAATATTTAGCGAATCTACCAAATCTTATAATTTTAATTGCAAGCAAATGAGAATTCTATTATTCAACATAAATAAGGTTATTGGGATATTCCCTAAAATTAGGAAAATAAGCATCCAACTCTCTCTCTCTCTCTCTCTCTCTCTCTCTCTCTCTCTCTCTCTCTCTCTAGCAGATATTATGAAAGCACAAACCCTCCGTCGATGACTCTCACACTCACTTTCTTCCTCCTCTCGCCTGCCTCCGCCTCTCGCGAGGAGGTCCGATCAATCCTTGAGTTCAGAAAAGGCATCAAATATGATCCTTCCGACCTTGTCTTCTCCTCTTGGGTGCCCCCACGCCTCCTCCTCCGCTTGCTACGACGACTTATACGGCGTCGTCTGCTACACTTTCGCCTCCGTCGTGGTCGTCGTCGCTCTCGCTACCTCGGCCTCACCTGTGAACTGAAATTTCAGTTCCCTGCTCGCAGATCCGTCATCTCCACTGACAGAGTTTGTCCAAGGCGGACGAAGGGCCATCGTGGGACGTTGATAAGATCAAAATGAAAAAGTTAAAATATGATGCAAGTTTTGACCAAATAGAATTCAATCTTTGCCTCGGTGGGATGTTGATAAGATCAAAGTAAAAAACTTACATGATTTGCCATAGATTTATCTAAAGCTTTCACAAAAAGGTGGTCACTTATTGGAAAAGGTTCCTCCCTCGAAAAATATCTCGACTCAAACCAATGTCCCTTGAATGAAACAGTAACATAACTTGGCCGGGTCAAAACACAAAACAAGCCTCCTTGGTCTCTATTTACAATGTTTTTTTTTTCTTAGATTTTCCATTTGTGAAGTAAATCATATTTCTTGATGATGCCATATAGTTTGCTAACAAAATTAAAAAAGACCAATATTTTCAATCTCCGCTGATCAAAGAACTAAGTTGTGAACATCATAAAGGGATAAGAAAAATATCATAACCATAGCAATAGTAAAATTCAATCATGAAGCATAAAAATTAAAACGTACCTAATCTAGAATGAAAACAAGTCTGGGGAGAATGATAGTATTCGTTGGGATTTTGAGTGACAATTGAATACTTTGAGATTTGAGACTTCTTAAAATTTTCAAATTTATGAAGAATCTTATGAAAATCTTATGAATTTGGAGTAAGATTTCTTACATAGTTTATTTTTTGAGCAAATTTTAAAAGGTTGTAACAAATCTCAATCTCAATCACAAATAAGTTAAAAATACTCGACTTTTAAAAATCTCAAATGAATTCATTGAGACATTCAAAGTCCAAGTTAAATAATACTCTAAAATCTTAAAGTCTTTAAAATTCCCAAACAAATACGAACACCCCCAGAGATAGGGTAGCGTCTATCAATTAGAGGCAAGGCTGGGGAAGAACCACATAGGCGCTGGGAAAATCTTCTCGAGTCTCCGGACCTCGACTGGATAATAGCACGGTGACACTGTCTTCTTCTTGTAATCAAAAATGCCAATGTCGTTGCCGTTGATCAGTTTAACATTCTTAAACACCTCGATGCCGTCCATATTCGTGAAGTAAATGGTGTTGGGCCTGATCCCGGGCAGTTGGGCCGCAGGCAATGCAACCGCGTGGCAAAAGGCCCCCACAAAGAGAGCCCAATTCCCGAGCGAGAAGCACCTCACCAGATCCCCACCTTTCGGGTCATATCTATCCACATCAAAATCAATAGTAAGGAAGTAGGGGATCGGCTTTAATTTTATCTGTCCATAGTCCATAGAGTCGACCCAACACAGGCCCTCCAAGTCCACCACGTCAGCCCTGTGTGGAGTCACAAAGAGGATGTCCCGGCCCATGACGGCCAGCCGGGTCGTGAGCTTGGGCTCCCACTGAGGAGACCCGCGCAGACTCAAATCATCAGCAACCCTAGTTGAAGCAGGGGAACACGGGTCCTGCAGGTCCCAACACTCCAAGTTAAAGTATCGTGTGAAGGCAAAGAAGATCCCGTGGCCCGGGGAGTAGACGCAGTCAATGTAGCTGCCACCCGGATTCACCCCGTCGTCCGGGCCCAACGGGTCACCCATTGGAATCCACGTGTTGTTGGGCCGGGCCGGGCAGCAGAAGGCCATCATTCCGTCCAGCTTGTAGATAATCACGGCCCTGCAGGCCTCGTCGTCCGGGGAGGAGGAGAGGATGATCTTAGCCACGCTAGCCGATTCTACATCGGCGTAGAGGTTGTAATTGGGGAGGTCGTTAAATGGGGGAAGCTTTATGTGGCGGCGGGATATGGGGTTGTAGAGGAACATATCGTGGGTGTGGGGGTTCCAAAGCCCGACCCAGCCGTGGGAAGAGCCCGTGAAGAACATGACATCGCCGCAGCTGGCGGTTAATTCTCGAGCCGCCCCTTCGCAGGTTAGGGTTACGACCCTCTTCTCGCCCAGGCTGTAGAATTTGTAAGCCGCGGTGGTGGAATCGGATTCCAAGACGGGGGGGAGCATCAGCCAAGGATATGTCAGGGAAGATGAGGGTGGAGTTTGCGCCGTCCGGCCAGTGCTCATCGGACGGGAATGTAAGGGCTTCCATTTCCCGATAATCCGACAGCCGGGGAACGCTTTCCGGCGAATCGTACGGGCCACGAGTAGTGAAGAAGCCATCGATGGTTGGTTGCTACGCGCTGTCGTCTCCATTGAGCCATTAGAGAAGCACAAATTGGATAGATGTGTGACGGCGGCCATCCCTTTTTCCTTCTAGGTTTTTTCTCGCTTGAAACGTGGCCCTAAACCTTCAATGTAATTACCTGGCCCTAAACCTTCAATGTAATTACGAAACTTCAAAAGCTAATCAAATACTAGATAATACATCTGAACAGCAGCACTCCTTACAGTTCTGATTACATAAACCCTAAATTCTTATCTCCAAATTTTGTTTATTCAATTTCTGTATATTCTTGAAAAGATTCAAACTTTCTGCTAAGTTCATCAAATCTGTGTAAAAAGAAAATTTATCTATACATATACACGCATATATAGCAATCCCAATTGATAAAAAGATAAAGAAAAGACAAAAGAGAACACCTTTTCTGCTTGAATTTGCAGTAGCGTAGGAGAAAGATGGAAACAGAAGACAAGACGGTGCGAGCCGAGTTATGTGATCAGTTGATGCTGAAAATTAGAAAAAGTAGGCCTGTAAATGAAGCCAATATATATTGAAGGCCCACATAATGATCCATTTTGTTTATGGGCCTGTATCAGTAAGTTGAACGTCCCAAAGGTTCTGCAATTTCTGCAATTATTTGCTTATAACATTCATTAGATACATGGACTTCGAATATTATCGAAAGAAAGAGACTCAACTATATCAAACAAGTTTTTACATTTTTTCATCCCCAATTTCATTTCCACGGCAACCTAACCCATTGGTGCGGTTCGGTCAAAAACCACACCGCACTGAAAAAAACCGAAAACTGAATCTTTAAAATTTCTTCACTGAATTGCACCGTAATAAGGAAAACCGAACTGAACCGAACTAAAAATTTCAGATCGGTTCGGTGCGGCTTTTCGGTTAACTGAAATTAAAAAAGATAACCACCAATTAATGTAATGTAAGTAAAGTGTAAAAATTAGGGTGATATTTTATTAAAAAAACAAAAAAAAGTGACATTTTATGACTTTCGGTGCGGTTCGGTTAAACCACACCATTCGGGCAGAAAACTGAACCGCATCAAAATATTGCGGTTTTTCATACCCAAACCGCACCGATAATCGAACTCTTCAGAAACCGCACTGAATAACTCGGTTCGGTACAATTTTTTGATTCGGCTCAGTTTTGCTCACCGCTAGTTGTAGGTTCGGCCGTCATATATTTATAACATACATATAAATATCATATTTTTGTTTATTTTTTTAATTGAGAGCATGACATTTAAATTCCAAAGTACATAGATTGTTAATAAGTATGATAGCCTAACAAGATTTTTCAAATTACTCTTTTCCTTCTCACATCACAATAAATCACTTGCTTCCATATGCTCATCCAAGGACTCCCTCGTAAAGGAAAAAACATGCAAGTCCACAAACTTCCTAGTACAAGAGAAAACTAACCAAACTGACACAAGATAATAATAAATAAAAACTTCAAAAATAAATCCATCCACCCTCTAGTTTCAATAGCTACTCATGAGTCATCATGTCTCATTCATACATCCCAAAAAGAAAGGGAAAAAAAATAAAATAAAAATAATAATAATAATAAATAACACTCCAAACTCGCCCTCACTCGAGCAAATCTGACACGGGCGTCTTCCTAAACGGGTCCACCTTAGCCAGCAACGCCCCCAAAACCCTGTTCGGGAAAACCCCATCCGCCTTCAACCTATCACTCATTCCATACGCCGGCTTCCCAGCCTTCACGTACGCCTCCACCAATGTCTTGTACTGCTTTAGCCTCGACAAGTACCCAACACGCCTCATCATAGTTAAAATCTTCTCCGCATTGTGCACATCTCCACGCCCCGCATAACCCTCCATTATCGCCAGATAAGTCGAAAACAACGGTTTTCCCCCTTTCTTCTGCCCCCCCACAGCCTTCCCCAAAACCGAATCAGCCTTTTCCACCTCACCAGCCCCGAGATAAAGCTTCACAATTGCATCCCATGTCAGCGGGCCCAGCTGGCATCCACTTTCCCCCATTCGCCTCACGAGCTCTTTCCCTTTAGCCAGCAATCCATGGTCCGCGTACACCCGAAGCAAGGCCGTGAAGTGCTTCGAGTTTGGCTTCTTCACCTTTTTCGACAGCTGTTCAAAAGCCTCCTCGGCTTTCTCGATTTTCTTCAGCTGGCCCCATGCTTTGATTGCCGTCAAGCACTCGAGGACCCGAGGGTTTTCTTCACAGACTTTCCATATTCGCTCGACTTGATCCTCTTGCCCAAGAGAGGCGTAGATTGGCATCAGCCAATGGCAAGCCCAGCGGTTTTTCTCTAAGCTTTCGCCTTCAATTTCCTTTAAGATGGCCTCTGCTTTGTCTTTAATCCCATGTTCCGCGTAGTGTCGGGCCATGGATGCTTGGATCTGTGTGTTGAGTTCGACCCCGTCAGCTTTCATTTGGGCCACAACTTGCTCCATGGCTGGTATATCGTTCGACTGGCCCTTTACGTCGATAAGGATTTGGTAAGTGAAAGCAGAGGGTTTTATGTTTTCTTTTTCCATTAGGAGAAGGATATCGGCTATTTTTTTCTTGTCCGTGCGTTTGTAGAGGAGAAGGAGCTGGTTGCAGGAGAAGCAAGTGATGGGCAGGCCAAGGGTTTTCATCTTGTTAAAAGTTTCCTCGGCTTTCTTGACGTGATTGGCCGAGACGCAGTTAGCAAGAAGGGTACGGTAAACGAGCTCGCCCCTGTTGGGTTGTGGGATCTTGCTGATGTAGTTTTCAGCTTTGTAGATGCCGCGTGATTTGGCAATCAGGTCGACTCGGGAGGCGTAGTTTTTGTCAGAGAACTCGAAATGTTTTCTCGATTCAAGCCATTCAGAAAACTGCAAATGTGGAGACAGACGAAAAAGAAAAAAAAAAGTTAACTGCATTTTTTTTCAGGGGAAATAAATGTTTTCGTTTTCTGGATCGATTAGTTTCTTTCCCATTAAATTTAAGAAAAGAGGCTTTGTAAAAGATTTGGTTGTGGATGATTAGACAAAATAGGACGCGAAGCATTCAAAAGCAGCGAAATTGTATATGAAGCAAAACGGATGAAGTATAGAAGTCGTCAAACTTTTAAATGAAAGGCTGGTACTTAGTAAGAAACTACGATATAACTGTGCAACAATAATGGCAAGTACTCAAAGGCAAACAAGAATTCCCAGATACGTGATCATGGGATAGATAAATGCTAATCTAACTGACTAAGAATTTGTTAGCACAAGAAAGAAACCAAATCCATCAAATGACATAAGTCACTGCATCTAGCATGCGATTCCAAGTCGTTTAAGTACCTGAATTGACTACAGATAAGAGGCTTTCACCACAAATCTTGATGCATCGACATATTAAAAAAAAAAATTGAAATGGAATTAATGAAGCTAATTAAGGTACAACAAATCCAAGAGACAAAATATTAATAAACAAACAAGTTCTATAAAAGAAGAAGGATTAGAGCGATCACCTCCAAGGCCTTGCCGAACAATCTTCTTTTCCGAAGATGAAGCATGGTCAATGCAGCTTCGGTTTGGTTCACCTCATTTCCTTCCCCAACCCATTCATCCAGAACTTTGCTCAAAGACATACTACTGGGTGAGTCTAGAATAGTTTTAGTCATTGCTGATAAACCTCGTTTCTTAGACGAGATCTTTTCTGCAACATCCCCTAATGCTTCCAACTCAGTCTGCAAATCCTCCTCTTCAGATAGATCTGACTTTGCAAGATCATCATCACCATCTGCAGAATCAACTGGGGTTTCGAGTTCGGAAAAACCATCATCCAAGTCATCATCGTCCTCCTGTGTGCTCTTAGCACCGGCCCCTGATGCAAAAGAGCGGACTCCCATGTTCGACTTTGGTAAAGGAGATGATGTGTTGAAGAATCTTGTGGGAGTTTGAAATACATCAAATAATTTTTCTTGGGAGTCAATAACTCCAGCATGGTAATTTTCTGAAAGGCTTCTTCCTACATCAGATTTCTCACAGAAAATTCGACCAGTCCCTGAGCTCAATCCTTGCTTTCTGAAATGAAAACATAAAGGTATCTCACCTTTAGCTTATTGTAGAAAGGAAGTTCAGAGTAATAACATAAAACTGAATACCAAAAAATCATATAGTAACACCCACCAGGGTAAATTGCGCCAAATCCCCCTGTATTATACGAAATCTGCGCCTTGTCCCCCTGTATTTTAAAAAATGCATCATACCCCCTTGTATTATACTTTTGATTGCGGGTTATCCCCTCTCCTCGTATAATACAAGGGGGTATGATGCATTTTTAGGGGATAACGCGCAATCAAAAGTATAATACAAGGGGTATGACGCATTTTTTAAAATACAGGGGGATAAGGTGCAAATTTCGTATAATACAGGGGGGTTTGGCGCAATTTACCCCAGTAACACCACATAATTATAGAAATAGCAAAAGCCGACTAAAAGCTTACAGTAAGCTCCACCAGCATTCAGTAATCATCATCACGCAAATCAAATTTAAACGCCACTACAAGCATATATACCTGAGATATACATCTACAGTTTCTTCTTGCTCACTAAACATTTAATATTTGTTTGATGATGAAAACACACAAACACATCGTACGAACACCACAATACATAATTGAGGACTTCAGTAAACTACATGATGTATAAAACAGAAGTAAACTCATTCTTCATCTGTCGAAGCTTTTCTGCCATAACCAGTAAATGAATCCTCACGCTACTGATACCAAACCAAACAGTTGTACAAAGGCAAATGATTTTTTTTTTTTTTTTTTTAAAGCAATGTAGATTTATGAGGAAAGGACTAATTACCCGATGCGAGAAGAAGCTCTGCGAAGTGCCCACATCCTGATTATCTGCAATTTCTAATCTTGGCAGAAATGTTGGTGGTGAGGAGTGACCGAGGAAGGTGAGCGTATATAGCAAGCAATAGAGCGCAGGTCCCTAAAACCCTAAACCCTAAAAACCTTTTGTGGGGAGTACAAATTTCACACAGCTCCCTATATTTTAAGATACTATCGTTTTGGGGTATTGGAGTTTGTAAAATTACGGATTAGTACGGTTTTGAGCAGATGTCGACTCTCAGTGCTACTACGGTGCACCTTGGCGTAAGTGTGCCAGGGCAAAAAAATGAACATGTTTCATTAAGTGAAAGTATTTGCGGTTGACTCTTATGAGTAAAGTAATTGATATTTATTCCAAAATTAACAGTCAAGTTGATAAATAAAATTCACTTGCATGACCATTCTTATTGTTATACTTCACTTAATACGATGAACGATTTTGCTATGAAGCCACAAATGAATACCTTATACTTTTTTGTTTAATACAAGGAAAAAATAATAAATAAATCAACAAAGCAAATGATCTAACAACATTTGATCGGTGTGTTATAGTCTTAATTACTATTTTACTGTATGTATATTTAAACTAATGTATCATGTACACAAAGGTGAAATATTTATTGAAAATTGATGGGTATTTGTTAAATTACTTGTAATTGTGATTATTCTTAGGGGCTAAAATACTCGATATTGTTTTAAAATTTATAAGGTTAAATTGAAAAACCCAACTACTTTAGGAGTTGAAAAATATATTTTACTTCTTATTTTTAATGCTCGATCAAAATAAATATGGTAATCAGTGTGGATTGGAACCAATAGAATGTAACCGTTGACCCATGCCTTAGACCCGTTGATTCATGTTTCAACCTCGGGTCGAGTCTAAAATGTTATTTGTCATTAGGTATCAGCCCAGTCTAAAAGCAACTAGGCCCTTGGCGTCCATATTCTTTCGGTCCATTTACATATTGACTACGTTATAATCGAAAAATAATAATAAGTGACAAGAACAAATCGGCAGTGTTTGGTTCGGGGAAAACGGAGGGGAGAGGAAGAAAGGGGAGAGAATTTTTTAATTTTCCATCGTTTGGTTCAAATTTATGTAGGGGGAGGGGTTATAATTTTCCCTTCAAACCCCTCCTCCAAGGAAAAATACTCTCCTCTCCGAAAGTGGAGGAATTTGGAGGGGAGGGAAAATTAATAACAAAATTACTCTTTTGACCTTAATTATGTGAATTATTTTATTTTTTGTTTCTTACATTATTAAGAGTATAATTGTCATTTTTACAATATTTTCTTTCCCTTCTATTTTTCTAACCAAACAAGGTTTACCATTTTCCCTCAACTCACCTCCTACAAAATCCCTCCAAGCAAGGTAAAATTATTTTACATCACCTCCTCTCCCCTACCTAAGTTCCATTAAAATTCCTCCCCCCCCCCTCTTTCTCTTACTTAAACCAAACATAGGCTAAATCATAAAATTAGTCCATTTGTCACTAAAACAAAAAAATTCGTAAAATTCATAAATTTGTAAATAAATAAGCAGAAATTAAATGTATAGTGTTCTTATTTTATCTAGCCATCACTATATCTGCTCTTGGGCCCCCATAAATATGGGCAAGAAAACCTTTAAAAAGCTGAGCATATAGGGAAGTCACATATTTTGAGCCCAAGCCCATCAATTACACCCCTAACTAAGAAAAAGAAAATAAATTATTTCGTCCTTTTCCACATTTTTTTTTTTTTTTTTCACTCTGCCTTCTTTTGTAAGCACTCGCAAATCGAAGCTTGTTTCAATCTATGGTTGAGGCCTGAAAGTTGAAGGAAAGCGCGTGGCAAAGATAGGTTATCCCTGAAATTACAAGCCTCAAATTGCGTGTTTATGTGTGTGTGTGTGTGGATACGCGTACATGATTTTGCCGCTTTACATATGAATTTGTTTATATTTTTCTTTTATTTAATCTTCTGGCATATGTATCTGTGTTTTTGGTGTGTTCGATTGTTCAGTATTTTCGTTATGAGCTTAGAAATCATTATTCATTAGGGTTTATGTCTGATTAGGCCTTTGGTTTTGAGGTAGGTGAGCATGGATTCGAACGGGAGAGAAAATTTGGACTCCAAGGCTGAATTTCGGAAGCCTTTGAATGACTCGGTTAATAGGAAGTATCGGCGTAGATCTTCGGTGGCTGGGTCATCGTCCTCGTCCTCGTCTGATGGTAATTTCCTCGGAATGTTCATTTTGTTTTTAAGTCGAAAGTTAGTAACTTTATAATTTACTGCTTATGAATCCTGGTATAGCTTTGAGTTTGTTGTTGGTATATTGGATGTAATGCTGGTATTGGTTGTATCTTTATAGTCTATTATTATATTGTATTCTGCCTCGTATTGCTTACTTGTATCGGTCCTTGTATTGCTTATAAAGTTGTGCTTGAATTGTTTTTGCGGAGCTTGTATGATGCTAATGTACAATCCACATTGTGTTTCAGCCTGTACTCAAAGATGTTACTAAGCTCACTTAACTGATGACTATTACAAATTGAAAGGCCATATTCAACATTCAATCGTTATAAGGTTGTTGGATTGTGTCCTATGTGATGTGTTTGAGTTATATGCCTTGTGCTATGATTATATGAATGAACTGCTTCAGCTATACATGCAAATTGGGCATATATGGTTTTTAACTGTAATCATGCCTTATGTTATCTCTTCAAAAATTCTAATTTCTTGATTTTTTATTTTTTTTTTCATTTATCTTGTCTATCTTGATTTTAATTAACATTCTTTTACTCCCATAGCTTCTATTACATGTATTCAGGAAGTCCACAACGTAAACACAACTCGAGCCCGGTCCAACTGAGAAAGGATATAGCAAAAGTTGATGATGATAAAAGAAAGAGGGACAACACTAAGGATCGACAGTCATCTAGGAGCTATCACAGGCATGACGATCACATCAGGCGTGATAGACGTGTGGATGATTATGATCGAGGTTATTCCAAGTCATCCTACCATTCTAGACAGGGCTCGCGAGACAAAAACAACTCAAATTACTCGAGGTCTGATAGAGAGCTCCCATCTAGACATTATGTGAGCGATGTGGACAAAAACTCTCATGGGAAATCTGATGGTTTGGGGCATAGAAGTAGGGATAAGGACTCATATGATTGGGCTGTAGACGGGCGAGGGCATAGAGATGATAGGGGTGACCGATATGGAAGGATGGATTATAGAAGGAGTTCAATGGATTATAAAGGTGATCGTTCGCCTGCTTATGACGAGTCAATGGACCAAATAAATGATTATTCTTCACGAAGGGAAAATTATGGACATCGTTTAAAGGAATCCTCTTCAAGGTACTCCAAGGAAGTCGATGCAAATGATGAAAAGAGTAGGCGCCTGGATGCAGGTGCTCGTAATGTGCAAATTAATAGAGATACAAAGGAGGATTCAGATGGTATGTCCAACAAGGGTGAAGAAGTTGTCGCTAAGAAGGCGAAGACTTTTAGCATGGAGAGCACTGCTGGCTCGGATGGTAATGTTTCCATTTTCTCCTGTAGTGATGTGCTTTCTGTTCTGTTTTTCGTGTTTGAATATCATTTGGAGAATTGTCCAACAGTTACTTCTGAGAAGGATCGTGTGACGGATTCTGATATTGATGCTGCGAAAATTGCTGCTATGAAAGCTGCTGAATTAGGTAGGTAAATGAATCTCTCGTGGGTTGTTTTTTCATTTTTTATTTTTTTTTCTAGATTGAGTAGTGTTATCTGTAGTTGTGACTTTACCAGCTGAATTTGAAGTGCAGCGAGAATTCTTTAACATGATTTTGCATGAGATGGTTTGTATGTGGTGATGAACTTATTAGTTTTTGTTGTGGACTAATTAACTGCTTCTTCTTTGACGCAATGTTTGAACGAACACACAGTTAACAAGAACTTGATTGGAACTGGATGCATGACCGCTGATCAAAAGAAGAAGCTTTTGTGGGGCAACAAGAACAACACTGCTAGTGAGGAGGTATCTTAAATCATCGTTATAATATCCATTTTATCCACAAGCACTTTTTTCTTCTGAACATAAACAAGTAGTTATGAGACACACGCACACACAAACAAACAAATAAACGGGTTTTGATTATCGATTAAAAGTGTGCCCGACCTCGTACCAAATATTCCGCATAGATTATCATTTTTATGTGAGACGCATCGCTTGATTTACCTTCTCCTTTCTGTTTTCCTTTATGGTTAAATACAATACTCCATATAGCCTGCTCACCGTTGGGACACAACAACATTTGGCGACCGTGAACGGCAAGAAAAATTCAACAAACTCATGGTAAGTAATCTTCCTTGTCCATTGCTCTATTTCCGTCTAAACCACACACAATCCAAAAAACTATATGCACAAAGCTCCTCAACTTTACGTTTATCCCACCACACATACTAACACTGGTTTAGAGTCTGAGGTTGGGTTGGGTGCCTATGGCCAATTGTAGGGCTTGAAGGGGGATTCGAAGGTGGAGTCCAAGCTGGACGATCCGGATGTCGAGAAGCAACGGGAGCAGCTTCAGGTGGAGTTGGAGAGACAGTACACAGCCGGTTTGCGCCGGCGAGATGGCCGGACAGTTGGCCTCGGCCTTTAAGATTACTTTATTCGGTATTTTCAAGATTACTTTGTTCGGTGTTTTCGTGTTTGTGTTACTGTTATTGTACTTTGGATGTTTGTGTGTTAGGAAAAACTGTCTTCTTGTAATATGTTAGACTTTGGTCTTTCTGGATTATCAAGTTTGTGGTGTGTATTGAAAAAGTGTACTAGTTGCCTGTCAATAATTATAAAAGTTAATTAAGTGGACTATTAAATTTATAACATAATAAAATTTTTATTTAAATAAGTTCGGTTTGATAAGATAACTTTTTTTTTTTTTTAAAGTTGAGGGATAGTCATTTTTTTGGAAGAAAATTAATAATTTTGATTTCTATTTCAGTTGTTTATCATCAATTTCATCAAATACAATATTTTTTTATACCAGCTATTTTTCAATGATAAGCTTTAAATTTTATTAATCAGTCATCAATTAATATATCAACTAAAAGCTTGAATTTCAGTATCAAAATATTGTGGATTTCAGAGGTAAACTAAAATAAAAGGTTTTTTAAAGGTAACCCAAAATAAATTACCGTGGATTTTATACGAGACAAAAAAA